AGTTCCCTTACTCACCCCTATGACAAACAAAACATTACTTTGGCCACACTGAACTGTATTGTAAAACCATCAAGTTGAAACGTGAATTCTTAGCACACCTTTTCTTCTGCCCTTTTTGGCTTAGGCCTAGTATTTCTTCTTCCTTCCCACATAACACCAGGTCAGCAGAAGGGCTGACCCATCCCTCTGACCCAACACTGAACACAGTCCATGAGCCCAGCACTGCCACAGACTCTGAGACTTTTCAAACACTTATAAAAACGCAGGAAGTTAGTGACTCTAACATGCACTTTGCCTATAAAGGAGTTAGCACCAGGGGGGAAAAAAAGAGGGTTTTTTATTGATTAACAGTGGGCTGGGAAACATTTTGAGAAGGGGAATGTGGAATGTGGACACCTTTTATAGTGGCGCCTGCACACGACTGGACTCACTGTCTCAAAAACACCAGGAATCTGCCCACACAGCCTTTATTTTTCCTCAGCAAAGTGAGAGACCATCCCAGAGCCAGGCTGGAAAGGACACGAGCCAGACCAACCATCTACAGCTCAACTAAAGGAAAGCAACACGAATTCAAGGCCTACTATAAAGATATAGATTGAGTTTATTTATAGTCAGTTTAGATAAATAGTTAAGTGTCTCCTTCAGCATCTTCTGCACACAGCAACATAGCACGAGCACCTTTCACTGAATGAGCAGCAGGTTGCAGAGTGTGTTGCTGCAGAAAACTCCTGACGTGTCATACCACACAGAGACTTCCCCACAGAAATGTGCAGTACAGTTCAGGGGGAAAACCAGAGCTGAGCACGACTTGCACTTCACAAAGCAGCACTGTGTAAGGGAAGGAGCACTGTGATGTGTCAATCCAGGGCTGTTTAATCCCCCCGTTATTTACACTCCTAAGAAACTCTCCTTTGAACGCAGCTCAGGGCATTTTGACAGTCATCCAAACTTTTATCTCTCCTCTCCTACACTGAGGTTGGTTTCTGGATTTTCCACTTCTTCAAAGAGGCACCATGTTACCAAACAGGATCCTGCTTAGGTTGTTTTCTGTGTACAAAGGGCAATGCTAAGTGTTTCCCAGATCTCACCAGGCCAGAGGCAGCACATGGGTTTGCTCGGTGTGGGCAGGGGCAGCTCTGCCCCGGGCTCAGCCTGCAGGGCAGGGAGCACTGGCTGCTCCAGGAGCCTGGCAGTCAGACCCCCAGCTCTGCCCC